TTATTGGATACTCAGTCGGACACCACATTCTTGCTGGAATCTACCAAGGAAGCCATGAATCTACAAGGTTCAAAGGTGAATCTTCTTCTTTCTACTATGTCCAAGAAGGATGAGAGGATCCCTAGTGAGAAAATTCAAGGACTCACGGTTCGTGCTCACAACAGTATGAAGATGATTGATCTCCCTGCAGTCTATACACGAGACATCATGCCCGCAAATAGGGAGTATATTCCAGTGCCTGAAGTGGCTATGTCCTTTCCTCACCTGACTGAAATTGCAGAGGAACTGCTACCACTACAAGACTGTGAGGTAGGATTGCTGATCGGATATGATTGTGCACGTGCTCTAATTCCTCGCAGCATAATTCTTTCTCCTGATGATGATGATGGACCCTTTGGGATGAAGACAGATCTAGGTTGGTGTGTTGTGGGTATATCAAGTCAGAAGGAGTTTGCTGTCAGCCCCGACGACAGAATAGGGTTCAGTCATCGATTGATCACCTGTGAGATACTCCCTGAGCTGACTGAAAGCAAAACTGCAACCAAGGAAAAGGTGATGTTCTCACACAACGTCACCATCAAGGAAGAGATAAGTCCTTCATCGGTGCTGAGGATAATGGAAGCAGACTTCTCGGACCTAAGAGACAACAGCGAACCTTCCTCACATAATGATGTAAGATTCATGAACATCATGAAGAATAATGTTCGCTTAACAGAAGACGGACATTACGAAACTCCACTTCCCTTCAAGGAAAAGGAACCAGATCTGCCAAACAACAGGTATATGGCAGACAAGAGACTACAACATCTCAAACGAAAGTTTGAAAGAGATTCAAACTACCACCGTAGATACACAGAGAAGATGGAAGCACTCTTAGAGAAAGGGTACGCAGAGTTAGCACCAGAAATCAAGACAGCTGATAGTCCAGTCTGGTATATTCCCCACCACGGTGTTATACAGCCCAACAAACTTCGGGTCGTATACGACTGCAGTGCTCAGTACAAGGGGGAATCCCTTAACGATTATCTTCTCACTGGACCAGACCTGACAAATGCTCTCGTAGGCGTACTCTGCAGATTCAGGAGAGACGAGATTGCATTCAGTTGCGACATAAAGGAAATGTTTCACCAATTCAAGGTGAGAGAAGACCACCGTGACTACTTGAGATATTTGTGGTGGAAAGACGGAGATATTCTTCGAGAACCCATTGAGCTGCGTATGACTGTCCATTTGTTTGGCGCATCTTCCTCCCCAGGCTGCTCCAATTTTTGCTTGAAGCAGACAGCTACTGATCACGCAGACGAATTTGGAAATGATGTGAAGGACTTCATTCATCGGGATTTCTATGTGGACGATGGATTGAAATCCGTTCCTTCTACAAAGGACGCTATCGACCTAGTTTCGAGAACAAGACAACTGTGTAAGAAAAGTGGACTGCATCTACACAAGTTCATATCTAACAGCAGAGAAGTAATGGAATCTGTTCCGGAGCCTGATAGAGCGAAGGGAGTCTCCAAGACGGATCTTATGGGAGTTGATTCACCCATGGAAAAGGCTCTGGGAGTTCTATGGTGTGTTGAGTCCGACACACTTAAGTTCAGGCTCACTCTACATGACAAACCCCTGACGAGAAGAGGAGTCTTAGCCACAGTTATGTCAATCTACGATCCATTGGGTCTGCTGGCGCCAGTTGTACTGCGAGGAAAACAGATCTTGCAAGAACTATGCAGGAAAGCAGTAGACTGGGATGATCAACTGCCTGATGAACAGAGAAGCAGCTGGGAGAAATGGAGAGCTGATTTGCATAATCTGGACTCAATCTCCATACAAAGATGCTACAAGCCTGCACATTTCGGAGAAGTAAAGACAACGCAACTTCATCACTTTTCTGATGCCAGTACTACTGGTTATGGCGAGTGCACATATCTAAGGCTGACTAATGATGAAGGAAAGGTGCATTGTACACTCCTGATGGGGAAGGCCAGAGTTGTACCTCTCAAACCAATCACTGTACCACGTCTGGAGCTGACAGCTGCAGTTGTTTCAGTTAGAGTCAGTGCATTTCTTCAGAGAGAGTTTGTACCCTCAGACACTGAAGAGTTCTATTGGACGGACAGCAATGTAGTAATGGGCTACGTTAGTAACGACTCGAAGCGCTTTCATGTCTTTGTTGCCAACCGTGTGCATCAGATTAGACAACACTCTTCCCCCTCACAATGGAGACATGTGGGTACACAGGATAACCCAGCTGATATTGCTTCTCGAGGAGCTACAGTCAACCAACTCCTGTCTTCCTCTTGGTTTACTGGCCCAAAGTTCCTGTGGGAGAGCAACGCAGAGAAGTTCATTCAAGGTGATAAGTTTGATGTGAAGTTGGATGATCCAGAAGTGAAGAAAGCTCATGCAAACGTTGTACATGGTCACTCTAAGCCTTGTACCTTTGAGATCGATCGTTTGGACAGATTTTCCTCTTGGCACAGAGCTAAAAGGGCAGTAGCAAACTGCATGAGACTGAAGGCGCATTTGAGAAGGCGATGTCGAGAGCGAGGTCTGAGCAAGTCATCCACCACTGGAAAGACTTCATTCCATGGTGAGCTACAGAAGCTTACTACAAAGGAACTCAACAAAGCACAATGTGAAATCCTGAAGACCGTACAGAGAGATGCATTCAGTAATGAACTGACAGCTATACAGAACCAGTCTGGTAAAGGTAGTGAGATGAATGCAAACAAGAGACACAGGCGTAAGCAGCAAGGGTATAGTCGCTTTCATCGTCTTGACCCTTTCATCGACGCTGATGGGATACTGAGAGTAGGTGGACGCCTGAGTTGTGCTGAAGGTTCCTATGAAAGTAAGCATCCAGCTATTATACCTCAGGACCACCATATTACAGAGTTGATAATACGACATTGTCACATTCAGACAGCTCACCAGGGACGAGGTATGACCATCAACCAACTGAGGTCCAGCGGCTTCTGGGTCTTATCTGGGAGCTCAACAGTCTCTAGACTCATAAGGAAGTGTGTCACATGTCGTAGGCTACGTGGCGAATCTCAATGGCAGAAGATGTCAAACCTGCCTAAGGACAGAGTTGAGCCTACACCACCCTTCACATACAGCTGTATGGACGTGTTTGGTCCATGGGTAATCAAAGAAGGCCGAAAGGAACTGAAAAGGTACGGCCTCCTCTTCAGTTGTATGGCTTCTAGGGCTGTGCACATTGAGACACTAAATTCGATGACAACCGACTCTTTCATCAACGCTCTTCGACGATTCCTATCCATTAGAGGTCCTGTGCGCCAGCTTCGTTCAGATAGAGGCACTAACTTCATCGGGGCTGAAGCTGAGCTAAGAGAAGGTAGTAATACACACCAGGACAAGATTCAGGAATTTCTTCTGAGGAACGACTGTGATTATATTCACTTCAAATTCAATGTCCCTTCGGCTAGTCACATGGGAGGTGTATGGGAAAGACAAATACGCAGTATACGTCGTGTGCTAGAAACATTGCTGTATGAAGCTGGACAGCAGCTTGATGATGAGTCCCTGCGCACCCTCATGAACGAAGCAGCAGCTATCGTAAATAGCAGACCTCTGACTGTCGACAATTTGAATGACCCTACACATCCTGAGCCCCTGACACCGAATCATCTTCTGACGATGAAAACCAACGTGCTGTTGCCGCCTCCAGGACACTTCCAACGAGAGGACTTGTACTCTAGGAAAAGATGGAGGAGAGTTCAGCATCTCGCGAACGAATTCTGGAAGCGTTGGAAGCGAGAGTTTCTCCAGAGTCTCCAATCACGTCAGAAATGGACTTGCCCACAGCGTGAAACCCGTATAGGTGATGTCGTAATAATGAAAGACGACAATCCAAGAAACCAATGGACGCTAGCCAGAGTAGTTGATGTTTACCCATCCTCGGACAATCATGTGCGTAAGGTTAAATTGGTGATGGGTGACCCCAAGATAAACAGTCGCGGGAAGCGAATCTTCCAACAACGTTATTTCGAACGACCAATACATAAGCTTATCTTGTTAGTTGCGCACGAAGACCAGGGGAAATTCCCTGACAAGGAGCCACAAGGCTAGGGGGTTGAACTTGGTTGACAAGGAGCCACAAGGCTAGGGGGTTGAACTTGGTTGACAAGGAGCCACGAGGCTAGGAGGTTGAACTTGATTGACAAGGAGCCATGAGGCTAGGGGGTTTAACTCAATTAACCTAAAGTAATAATTCTTATGTCCAAATCGCCATGTCTAGAGATTGAGCCTGGCATTGGATAACAAGGAGCCAAGGGGTCTGAATTAAGACTAATTTATGTTATCATTTGATATTGTTTATTGTGTCTGAACTTGAAAATAATTTGAATTTTCGCAGACATTGTGTTTGATAAATGTGATTTCAACCAAAATTCTAAAGTCTGAAAGGGAGAATACCTTCAATTTTCTAAATGCCGCTTTGTTTTATGTATATGTATACTGGTTTGATCATAATGCTAGAGTCTGGATGTAAGACTAAATTGAAATGTTTAAGGTTAAACATGCTTTATTTTTTGAAAAGGTCAACTTGGAATATAAAACTATTCCCTCGTTAGTAAAGGTATATCTGTGTCTGAGATGAAAACTACATCTAAGAGTCAAGTGAGACTATATTTAAGATTATTCATTTCAGTGTAAACTTACTAGGGTCGAAGTCAGACTTGCAACCTTGTGACATTTCATTTGTTTGCAAAATGAATTGTAGACATAAGGTTGATGCTCATTAAATCATATCTATGTGTAAGGAGTTAATGTTATTTAACAAAAATTATACATGCATAAAATAATTTTTAAGATTAAGGGCTGAGACTAATTTGAAACAAAATTTGAAGTCATGTATTACTATACAATACATGGATGGTGTTTTGGTTACAGAGTCAAATTTATGCATTAGTTTAGATTCTTGATCTCTGAACGTCTGTTATAGAAGGATTAGAATTGAACATTAAGTTGTAAAACCAGTTAAACTTATAGATTGAAGCTAATGAGTACAGCTAGATGCATTACATTTACTTCTAGATGTGCTTTGTATACATACAAAGTTAGAAATGTTAGTTCTGTAGAACACGTAAGAATTATCGCAGGTATACTATGTCAAATAGTTTATTATGGTAAATTAGTTGTACTAATTTAAAGGAGCCATGTAAGTGTATTTGATTTAGTTGACAAAAAGGTTAGAGCGCCATCTTCGGCGACAGACTTTTATAGACAGAGTTTCAAAGTCAAACAATGATCAATGAAGAACAATGAGAAATCGATGATTAATTGCAACATATTCTTAGCTGCAGACAAGTTAATTGACTAAAAGGAGGCAAGAAGGTCAGTACTTATTAGCTTGCAGTGTTTCAGTTGTGGGAAATATGTGTATAATTATGATATTTATGCCATAACTTTGAGGCAGGTGCCCATGTATAAGAATTTATGTTGATGAATCTGTGTATAAGAACTTAAGTTGTATTAATTTATAGAAGTGTGAAGACTATTCAGGAAACACAAAGAAATAGTAAAGTTAAGTAAATGGCAAGGTTTGGTATAATGCCTATGGGTCACGCCCAAATTTGTATTAAGGAACCTGTAATTATTACATGGATAAGGAACCTGTAATTATTATTGCATTTTAATTAATGCCCATTTTTTGTTGTTTGTTTTCTCACAGTTTTCACGGAGTGAAAAGAACAGAGTTAAAAGAAAGGAGTCAAAGAAAGGAAGCTACGCTCCTACCAAAGAATAAAAGAACACTCCCGTAAAAACCTTGTTAACTTGTCGTTATTGATTGGCTGCAGTTACAATGAGGATTAATGCCCCACGAAAGGGCACTAATATAGCACATCGACACGGTTTTGATCCTGGGGCCTCACAGTTACGAGGCCATTGTTTTGTCACTGAACCATGACTGTACGCAGCGGGGGCTAGGGTAGGGGGCAGTTTCCATTAATTAAACAAAAAACAGAAAATGTAATAAATTTTCAATAATTTATTGCATTTTACCCCGGTCCCCAACATTAAAAAAAATCCTCTGGACGGCCATGCATTATGGCTCAAGGCATGGGCACACAGAAGGTTTTTTATGTTGGGAACCGGGTTAAAATGCAATAAATTATTGAAAATTTATTACATTTTCTTTTCTTTTTTTATGGAAACTGCCCCCAACCCTAGCCCCAGCTGCGGACAGTCATGGTTCAGTGACAAAGCAATGGCCTCGTAACTGTGAGGCCCCAGGATGAAAACCGTGTCGATGTGCTATATTAGTGCCCTTTTGTGGGGCATAAATCCTCATTACTGTCATTTATGACTTGAGGGGGTAGGTCCCCTAGTTGAAAAGCATAGTAGCATACACATGCTTTAGCAGTCCCGCAAAACACACATTGGCAAATTATTATTCAATAAAATCTGAGAATGTATACTATTATCTAGATCTATTATTTTTAAATTATTTTTTTAATAATTCCAAAAATTGGGATAAAAAAATATATTCAACCTTTATGAGCGACAGTGTATATATCACCCCTTCTCTCTCTCTCTCTCTCTCTCTCTCTCTCTCCCTTCCTTTCTCTGCTCTTCCTACAAATAATGATATTTTGCATAGTAAAACATTTAAACAACATTCATAATACATCGCGTAATATACATGCACATGCAAACTCCTAAAATGATGCATAGCATCGCAGTATTATACCTGATTCAGGCACACACAGAAACCGAAAATGAAAACATTATACATACCAGGCAAGATAATGAGGCCAGGTATCGCCCGGAGTGAAATATTGGATGCTTACGGTTATGCTCACTGCTATATCCAGTACACAACCAATGCCAAGCTCATGTAGAATCCAAATGAATCCTTTCCTATATCACACTCTTCTTGCTTCCGATAAAAAGAGACGCTCGTAAGCCTCGTATCCCTGGATGGCTGATTTCTTACTTGATATCCACTATGTATTGTCCAAAGCAAATGAAGCACCCAATCAGCGATTATAATGTACAGCAGCCAGAGAGAGAAGGAATACGCGCGATCGATATCGAGAGATACAGGATAATAATAGAACCCCATTCATCACAGACAGGGAGATGCTAGTCTACATTATCAGACCAGTTTGCGCTGACCTAGACAATAATTCATGCGTAACAGTACATCTGCTAGAGAGACGTGTTGTTGTTGTTGTTGGAGAGACCAGGAAAGTGTAGATGATTATGATAATAATGAATAATAATAAAAACGGTGCTTATAAAGCGCTTACCACCGAAGTCTCTAAGCGCTATGTATTGTTGATAGTAATAGATAATATATACTGAGAAAAGTAAGAGGCAACTTGCACAGCAGGGGGCGTCGCGATATGTTTTTGTTTTTGTTTTTGGGGGGGTATAGGGCAGTGGCGGATCTAGGGTGGCCCGGGGTTCGGGCCCCCTTCCGTGCCCGCCCAAAAAGCAGGTTAATTTAACTTTTTTTGTAGGAAAGAAGAAGAAGACGGGCCTCCTCTCCCTGGCTCTAGGGGGGGGGGGGGCGGGGCGGAGGGGTGGGTGTTAAGTTTTTAAAAAATAGTGCTGATACCCCCCCCCCCCGCGCTTATTCGCCGACTGATTTGGCGCCTAATATTTTCTCACGAACTGGAAGGGAAAAAAGTGTTCCTTACCCCCCCCCCCCCTACCCCCCCCCCCCCCCCCCACCCCCGCTTATTCGCCGGCCGGCTAATTCGCCGCTAAATATTTCTCACGAATTGGGCCCCCTAATTGGCCCCCTCCCTTGCCGCCGTCTGGATCCGGATGGCCGGGGACTAACTGAATTGAACTGACTTTCCGTTTTTTTTTTAAACTGACACTACTGAATGGTATCGCATCCTCAAAGTACATGCCCTTCGCTCGATCAGATTGGCGTGTTCATATTTTATCAGATCGGGCTTTGCCAGTGAGGGCACTTGCTAAACGGCCCACCCCCACCTCACGATTCGATATCGCCGGTAGCTACAGACGGTTGTGTCAGAATTGTTGTTTACAATTCACTACAACGGTCTGAACCTACAGACTAAAACCTCAACATTAACCTTTTCTAGCTCCATTGATTCCTCACGTACAAGTGACACGCCCTGCGCGCTCTGTCCTTCTGGGTACAAAGGTCAACGAGCCCCTATTGAAACACGCAGAAAGATGTTATTATATGAACGTCATTTTCCTCATATCATAAACTCGGCAATTGATATGTTCCGTGTTTCGTGTTTTGACTACGGTTACCAGGGTGACGGCGTGGTTTCGAATTTGCTGAGAGAAGATGGTTACTGCCGCGTACTGTAACAGGAAAAAACAAACAATGTTATTTGCCTAATCTGGCGTGCCGCGTGGTGGATTTGGTTGAGGGGAGGGGAAAGGAGGGGAGGGGGAGGGGAAAGGAGGGGAGGGGCGGGGGCGTCATACACGTCATTCACATCAAATCGTTGATGTGGCAGATCCAGGGGCACGGGGGAAAGTGCACCAACCATCCATGCGCCTAACTTAGGATATGACTTGAAATAAATATTTAGACTGATTATACATTATTATGAAATATTTTTATATTCCTGATAATATTTCAAAATGTATATGATTATAAAACATATCAGATGAAACCAGTGGTTATACACTGTTTAATCCCCTCCCTTGCTCCCTCCTTCCCTCCCTCCAATTCTCCAAACCCTTCCCTTCTCTTCACCCCCCCCCCCCCCCTTCCTCCATCAGCTTCAGCTCTTGAAATCCTGAATGCCATTTTACTCTCCTGTCAGCTATAAATAAATTGAAATGAAAACAGTGCTAGGATCACTCTGAAAGAAAAGTAGAGAGCCAAAGCCAAAACAACAGAGCAGCATTGTTGACTTATTTAACCGGTGGAGCGACAAGAGAGTGCAAACATGGACTTCGGTGCATATATGGAGAAGGAATTTGGTAGAGGCTATAAAGAAGATGTGGGAAGAATCGACCCCAAAAGAAAAGATTATTGACAGAGTTCTTGTAAATGAGCTGTTCATTGAAAGATTAAATTACCCCCTTGTTGACCTAGTCAAACAAATAGAGAACACTCAAGTTCTGTTCTTATACCTCAACCAATCACAAAATGTTATCAAGCTGATAATCTTAAAATTTAAAAACATTTTCTTCAAATAAATCATAAAACATTTAATCATTTAAACAATAAAGATAGTTATGTTGAAATCTCCTTGAAATAGCAATGGTTTGCAAATAAAAGTGGGGAAAAAATCGCGCACGTTAGGACTAACTGACTAACACATATAACTGTCGAAAATTTCTTTCCACCCAAACCAGAAATAAGCAATGAAGCAGAAATGAATACCGTACTCCGTCTCCTTAAAGTATACATCGAGTATTTCGCCGGTATTCCGACAGAGTTACCCCGACGCTCTTGGCACCTACAAGTCATAGGACGGTAATGGCAATCGAGCTTTAGAATTATGACGATGGAAAATGTCATATAAGGACAATTACCCCCCGGACAATCAAAGCCCGGGAAATTACCCCCGGAAAATTGCCCCAAGGACAACCACCACCCCACATGGAAACGATCATCCGATCAATCTGACTTCAGTGTATATAGCATTTTTGCATGAAAGTGAAGTTTTCACAAAAGTGCGTTTCTTTCCAGCATCGGAGTGCCAGGGAGTAACTTGGGTAACCATGAAAAAAGTATAATATAAACAATTAATATGCACTTTCTCTGTACTTTTGTCGGAAAAAAACATAGTAATCCAGCACAATGTCGTTTTTGTTTGCGTTGGAGAAGAGCAACATAGCGAGTTTCAATTGCATTTTGGCCGCTCTCGCAAGCCCTTATCAGCCTGTTATCAAGGTAATTGACGAAAGTTCAATGAGCACATTGCACATAACATGCGTTCAAATATGACACGATTACCTCAACGTATTATGCAGAAGGGGGTCTTGGGGGGCACGAGCGCCCGCAATGCCTTTAAGTCATTTAACAGCAGGGCTCAAATTAATTTTTTGTCCACGGGGGCTGTTCCCCTCAAAAAAAGAGCCCCCGTGAGCCTTCTCACGGGGGCTCTTTTAGTACTGACGGGGGCTCTTTTTTATACAAATATCCATTGAATTGGTACCTATGATACTCCTCAATCATTTGCTATTTCATCATTATCATTTCAATCAGCATTTTCCCTCTTACAAATTTACAAGCTACATAGCTGTTACTGGCTTGTGTATACAATATATACGCATACAACACTGGTCTTTATGATGTCTTTTACGTGACACATCTTCTTGTCCTCTTGCAAACGAGAAAGAAAACAAGGTCATTAAAAGGGATTAAGCGACAAATAATGATTGTGATTCAAATTTATGCGAATATTTGTTTGAATAAGCACTGCTATTCACCCGAATCTTCTTTGTAAAAACAACTTTTACAAATCTCAGCCATGCTTACTGAGTTGAGACGTTCCATTTAATGTATAATACTCATTAAAGAATACACTTCTCCTAATCTGAAAGAGATCTTACAACACAGTGGCAGATTTGCATGGCTGAGATTTGTAAAAGTCGTTTTTACAAAGAAGATTCTGGTGAAAAGCATTGCTTATTCAAAAAAAAAAATCCTCGCATCGATTTGAATCACAATGATTATTTGGGTAGTGAGCACATTTTTTTTTTTTGATCCTCAATTTTTTTTTCGATTTGCACCCCCCCCCCCCCCTTGAGCGCCAGGGGGGGGGGGCCCAACCCCCAAAAAAGGTAAAAATCACGTGATTTAACATGATTTTTTTCTCAAGGGGGGGGGGGGGCCCGGGCCCCCCGGGCCCCCCCCCCCCTGGATCCGCCACTGGTATTAGTATGATCCAATATAAAGCTATTATTCTATATTTAATTCAGTACAATGCTTTTCCTCAAAAATAGTTTTGTTATTTTTTTAGGGTTGACACGCTAAGAAATGGTTTCAAATGTACATTACACAAACCCCGAACCATTGCAAAATGATGGTGGCTCTCTCTCTCTCTCTTTATTTTAATCATGCATTATCAACTACATATAAAGCAGCAACCAAAAACTTAGGGTTATCTGCTTCACTTCCCCCGCCCCCTATAATAAAATAGATTAGTAGTCCTCCTCTCCAGCATCCCCCTCCCCCCGCAGCCCAATGGGGCCGGGGGGGGGTGGGGGTGGGAGGAGGGGGTTAAACCCCCTAACCCCCCCCCCCCCCCTAGATCTGCCATTGTTATCATATCATTCCACGACATCTTGTTCTCTTCATCTTCCTCTTCTTCTCAATAGGGACTTTTAGATTTGCGTGGACGTGTTACTTCCTTTTAAGGCACTGGCAGTCACATGTGACGTCCTTTTAAGCACTGGCAGTGCCTTAAAAGGAGGTCACACCAGGGATATCCCTGGTCACACGTTGCAGTCCACGTTCTCAACGTGCAAATCTAAAAGTCCCTAATATTGATTTGCTGGTCGAGGTTCATTATTTGCTGACAACGAAAAACTGACCATGTTTCTGCCCTTGCGCGATCGCCTCCAGCTCCAGCAGACATGGCGCGGCAGCGTGCACACGTACCGCTACTAACGGCGCAGTAGGCCTATAACCACTGCTGACGGCGGCACTGACTGCGAGCTGAATCGGTAATAATAGGCCTATAAAACGAGAAATCTTGCACGCTAATCTTAGTTCCATTTCATTGGTTTAAGGTTTGAAAATTGAAACTCAATATTGTGTTAAAGTTATAACAGAAAAGATAATCTTTATTTTATAATGCCACCGGGGCGATTTTTAATTTTGCAATCGCCCCCGTGAGCAACCTGACGGGGGCGATTATATAGCTCACGGGGGCGAATCGCCCACCGCCCCCGTGTATTTTGAGCGCTGTTTAACAGGAACTTCCAAATCCACCGAAAACCCACCAAAGCTCTCTAACCACCAAACAAAAAATGTTCTAGAACCGCCCCTGGTTACATCTGATTTCCGTGCGTTATCTTTTCACCCTCAGACAATTCGGATGACAAGGTCAGTGTGAACGCGAGTTGATTATAGGCCTACCCTTTCATTGCATTATTCAGAAGGAATAGTTATTAACCTACTATGTTCTGTTTTGCATTTATTTGAATTCTGATAGGAACCCTTTTCAGCTGGGGGTTCGAAAAGGAAAAAAAAAACTAACAGAAAAATAATATTTTTAGGGATTGGGATTACAAGATAAGCATTAATATATTATTGAATTAATATCGGAGGAGAGCTTGAAAAGTGCATGAACTTCAAATTGACCTTAATGCCTGGATTACATTTTCCCCGGGCGCCGTACGATAAATTGGTCTCCGATTTTTCGTGCGAGTTGGGGGGCATCGTAGGAGGCTGCGGGCTACGATGTTTATGTCTACATTAATTGTGCCATTTCTTGTATTGGACCTAGGGGCAGGCCGGGGCAATCCGTACAGAGACTGCTTGGATATTTCAGTGCAGTTGCCGTGAAGTCTCCGCAGCCTCCGCGCGGAAATCGTACGGATCCCGTGCAGCTTCCGTACAAAGGTTGCCGTCGTGCAGCCGTCGTGCCGTTTTTTTTAGCTTTTTTTGCCCCCATGTTCACCGAAAAACGTGTGTCACAAGTTGCTGCACGATCAGAGCGAGACTTCCGGCTCGATGCCCGTGCGGGGATGTGTAATGCCACCTACGACATGTCTACGGGCTACGGGCTTACGATTTTTTAAATTTGTATAACTTCACGTGAAACAAAATCGTTGAGAACGCGGAGCCCGTGAATTCGTACGAATATCTCACGGCCGCCTCCGCATGAAGGCCGCACGGAAAATGGGGAAACGGGCAGGATACGGGCTCCGTAGACTAATCGCAGGCCAAATATAATCCAGGCATAATGTGTCCATTTCTTCTTGAGTTGTAAAGAAACCGTGAGAATATACTAGGCCAGGAGGTAAAGAGGGAGAGGGGAGTCTTGCAGTAAGGGGGCAGTAATCATACTCATGAGGATTTAAAGGCCTAAAGAAACATATTTCATTGTATGTCGGGACTGTTTGAGAGGTCTCATAGTTATAAAGAGACCTTATTGAAACACGAAAAGTGAGTCGGTCTGAATTGGATCTTTTAGTTCACAACGCAGCTTCAAGAGCATTCACCATCTCAGTGTTTCATCTAATTCACTATACCACTAACCTGCTTACACTAAATATGTGAAAGTTAGGTAACTAATAAAAAAATAATGTTTAAACAATTAAAACAATGACAGAAATGTGTTATCTAATTAGGCCTAAAGCGATAAGTGACATATGAAACTAAATTAATGCACGTATCAAAATAGATTCCCCGGGTTTAAATACATGTAGGTAGTGTCTTGGTTAATATTGATATTTTTCAGAGTTACGAATCTAAAGTTCAATTCTGTAATCACTTCCATGCAAATGTGTCACTCATAATAAAGTATCTTTATCGCCAGGCTTTATGATTAACTTTTTATTTGCTTAGTCGTGTGCAGTTTTATATATTCCGCTTTCCTGCCCATAGTTCAAACAGATCGAGCTTCTGTGACAAACGAATCTAATGTTAATCTAGGTATTCTCTGGATACACAGTGATGTCGAGTAATGCCAGTTGAACACAATGATGATCGCCAGTGAGGAATATAGGACATAATTCTCTGCGACCAGAGAACTTACTGATCCAGTGATGCCGCGAAACATTAACACAAATGGATGATGTGAATCAAGAGATCCACGATGCAGTATTGCGGGGTGATCTTGAAGCCGTCGAAAGTTTGTTAAAATTTGGTTCAAACATAAATCAAACAAACCAAAATGGAAACACACCCTTACACATAGCGGTTCAGAATGGCCAGGAGGGTGTCATCGAGTATCTCATAAATCATGGAGCTGATGTGGAGAAGGCGACTCCTGATGGACAAACGCCCTTACATCTTGCTGCATCACTCGGACTTGTTAAAGCAACGAAATGTCTACTAAGTCATGGAGCTGAGGTGAATATGGACAACGAAGACAAGGACGGCTTATGTGCATTGTACAGCGCTGTAAGGAATGGTCATCTTGATGTCACCAAGTCTCTCATCAGTCGAGGAGCTGAGGTGAATAAGGGAAATAAGGACGGTGGGACTGCATTACAACATGCTGCTCAGGAGGGTCATCTTGATGTCATCAAATATCTCATCAGTCAAGGAGCTGAGATAAATAAGGGAAAGGATAACGGTTGGACTGCATTACACAGTGCTGCTTTCAATGGTCATCTTGATGTCACCAAATATCTCATCAGTCAAGGAGCTGAGGTGAATAAGGGAAATAAGGACGGTGGGACTGCATTACAACATGCTGCTCAGGAGGGTCATCTTGATGTCATCAAATATCTCATCAGTCAAGGAGCTGAGGTGAATCAGGGAGATAAAGAGGGTAGGACTGCATTACGTAGTGCTGCTTTCAATGGTCATCTTGATGTTACCAAATATCTGATCAGTGAGGGAGCTGAGGTGAATCTAGGAAATAAAGACGGTTGGACAGCATTTCAACTTGCTGCTCAAAACGGTCATCTTGAAGTCACCAAATATCTCATCAGTCAAGGAGCTGAGGTGAATGTGCAAGACAAAGACGGTTGGACTGCATTACAAGTTGCTGCTAACAATGGTCATCTTGAAGTCACCAAATATCTCATCAGTCAAGGAGCTGAGATAAATAAGGGAAAGGATAACGGATGGACTGCATTACACAGTGCTGCTAAAAATGGTCATCTTGATGTCATCAAATGTCTCATCAGCGAAGGAGCTGAGTTCAATACGGGAGATAAAGAGGGTAGGACTGCATTACGTAGTGCTGCTTTCAATGGTCATCTTGAAGTCACCAAATATCTAATCAGCGAAGGAGCTGAGATAAATAAGGGAAAGGATAACGGTTGGACTGCATTACACAGTGCTGCTAAAAATGGTCATCTTGATGTCATCAAATGTCTCATCAGCGAAGGAGCTGAGTTCAATACGGGAGATAATGAGGGTAGGACTGCATTACGTAGTGCTGCTTTTAATGGTCATCTTGATGTCACCAAATATCTCATCAGTCAAGGAGCTGAGGTGAATAAGGGAAATAAGGACGGTGGGACTGCATTACAACATGCTGCTCAGGAGGGTCATCTTGATGTCATCAAATATCTCATCAGTCAAGGAGCTGAAGTGAATCAGGGAGATAAAGAGGGTAGGACTGCATTACGTAGTGCTGCTTTCAATGGTCATCTTGAAGTCACCAAATATCTAATCAGCGAAGGAGCTGAGATAAATAAGGGAAAGGATAACGGTTGGACTGCATTACACAGTGCTGCTAAAAATGGTCATCTTGATGTCATCAAATGTCTCATCAGCGAAGGAGCTGAGTTCAATACGGGAGATAATGAGGGTAGGACTGCATTACGTAGTGCTGCTAAAAATGGTCATCTTGATGTCACCAAATATCTCATCAGTCAAGGAGCTGAGGTGAATAAGGGAAATAAAAAGGGTAGGACTGCATTACGTAGTGCTGCTTTCAATGGTCATCTTGATGTCACCAAATATCTCATCAGTCAAGGAGCTGAGGTGAATAGTGGAAATAAAAAGGGTAGGACTGCATTACGTAGTGCTGCTTTCAATGGTCATCTTGATGTCACCAAATATCTCATCAGTCAAGGAGCTGAGGTGAATGTGCAAGACAAAGACGGTTGGACTGCATTACAAGTTGCTGCTGAACATGGTCATCTTGATTCCACCAAATATCTAATCAGCGAAGGAGCTGAGATAAATAAGGGAAAGGATAACGGTTGGACTGCATTACACAGTGCTGCTAACAATGGTCATCTTGATGTCATCAAATGTCTCATCAGCGAAGGAGCTGAGTTCAATACGGGAGATAATGAGGGTATGACTGCATTACGTAGTGCTGCTTTCAATGGTCATCTTGATGTCACCAAATGTCTCATCAGTCAAGGAGCTGAGGTGAATGTGCAAGACAAAGACGGTTGGACTGCATTACAAGTTGCTGCTGAACATGGTCATCTTGATTCCACCAAATATCTGATCAGTGAGGGAGCTGAGGTGAATCTAGGAAATAAAGACAGTTGGACAGCATTTCAACTTGCTGCTCAAAATGGTCATCTTGATGTCACCAAATATCTCATCAGCGAAGGAGCTGAGGTGAATGTGCAAGACAAAGACGGTTGGACTGCATTACGCAGTGCTGCTTTCAATGGTCATCTTGATGTCATCAAATATCTCGTCAGTCAAGGAGCTGAGGTGAATGTGCAAGACAAAGACGGTTGGACTGCATTACGCAGTGCTGCTTTCAATGGTCATTTTGATGTTACCAAATATCTAATCAGTGAAGGAGCTGAGGTGAATAACGGAGATAATGACGGTAGGACTGTTTTTCAACTTGCTGCTCAAAATGGTAATGTTGATGTTACCAAATATCTCATCAGCCAACGAGCTGAGGTGAATAAGGGAGATATTGACAATTTGACTGCATTACAAATTGCTGCTCAGAATGGTCATCTTGATGTCACCAAATATCTTATCAGCCAAGGAGCTGAGGTGAATAAGAGAAATAAGGACGATAGGACTACATTACAAGTTGCTGCTCAGAATGGCTATCTTGATATTACCAAATATCTCGTCAGTCAAGGAGCTGAGGTGAATACGGGAAATAATTACGGTAGTACTGCGCTACACAGTGCTGTCCAGGAGGGTCATGTTGGTGTCACAGGGTATTTACTAACGCAAGGAATAAGTGTGAACATGGGAGACAGAAATGAATTCACTCCTTTGCACATAGCTGGTATGAAGGGTGACCTCGATATTGTTAAGGTCCTGCTTGAGGAAGGAGCCCTAGTTGACGTAACGGATGCCAATGGACAGACCCCACTCCATCTATCTTCAAAGAAAGGAAATGCCAGCTCTTCCGACATGTTAGCAAAACATGCAAAGGTGTGTAAGAAATCCTTCCTCTGCAAGGTGAGGAGCCGATATAAATAATGAAAAAGCGTCAAATCACGATTTAAAAAAGAGGTAATAATAAAGGCAAACATAGCTAAATAAAGTTTATTTCGAATTCGTATGTTCCTGGGCTTAGATATAATGACATTCAGATTCCACAAGGTGTAGCCAATAACATTTTTTTTTAAATCTCGATAATTTGTTTGCCTTTGAGTTTGAAAGCTAGTTGAAAGTCCACATATTTATGGAATGCTACCAGTGCTCTATCAAAAGAAATACGCCTGGAATTTATAATGTATTCATTATTTTATCATTACTTAATTTTGTTTTTGTTATACAGATCAGTGGGTTTCTCGATCACCGTGATGATGAAGGATTGACTGCCATTCACCTCGCCATTCAAAATGGCCACACATCGGTTGTCGAGTCACTGGTTTCCCATGGAGCTTCCTTGAACATCCAGTCGCACAATGGAAAGACCTGTCTCCATGAAGCCATCATACTTTCTGATCACAAGGGCAAAATAGAGCAGACAGAAGGGAGACCCAAACAGGTAAAGCGATTAAATACCCACCTAGCACTTACCGGGGTTGGCGGGGCGCCTTTCAAATAGGGGGCGGGGGGGGCAACCGAAAGAGGCACTTCCTGGAGAGGAAAAGGGGCACCAACAAAGGGAAACCTCAAGGCTAAAAATATACAATTTTTAGACATTGGTATATAAACCTAAATTGTAATTACATTATCAGGGATGACTTCAATATTTGTTTCTCTCATTACATTGTCTGTGATACTGCTTAAAGGGTAAGTCCACTCCAAAAATAACTTACTTTAAAAAGAAGCAGAAGAATCAGACAAACCAATCAAAAAAAGTTTGACCAAAATCGGGTAACTAATAATAAAGTTATGAATGTTTAATTACATGAAAAGTTTTGAAAATCACTAGATAAATTGGCAACTCACTCACGAGTTTGGACGTCATGTCCTCACTATCCTCTAATTATTTTCTTTTTTCCGATGCTCTTACATATATTGGATAGAACATAGTTAACAATTGACGCACCTCCCTTTCTGTATGGTGGATCACGGTGTCCTGAAAGCTTCAGTGGGCACAGATCTTTTAAAAGTTTGATGACGAAAGCATTCACCCTTTTCCATTCTTGTTTTCGTTAACGAACGAGAGCACAAGAATCTGGCCGGCAAATCTATTAATCAAGATGAACGGAAGATCTACAGATTGTTAGGGTGATGGTGTTTTTAGAATTGTTTCGATGGAATATAAACTTGTGATTTAATGGATTGGCTGCGGTTGTTCCCGTACTTGATTGGTCAACGAAAACATCGATGGCAAATAATTATGTCTTTACCATCAACACTTTGAAATTACCTGTTTATAAACGTATATAAACATATAAACTATCACTGCACATTTCTTTCTGTTTTTGTTTTTAACCTCTTTTGATACACCTGTTATTTTGACTCAGATCTCAGAGGACTTCTATCATCACGAGCTTTCCCCAGAGAAGGCTTTGGTCTCATATCTTCTGGAGCACGGCGCGCAGTTGGACATAAGGGATAATGAAGACAAACTACCAGTCCACTATACTACCAATGAAGTTATCCGACAGTTGATATTTTCAAGGTATCTTGTATTAATCTGCCAGGTCGGTAATAATTATATGTGCAGATAAAGTTTATTATACCACACCATAAAACCCATCGACACGAATGCTGAGAAAATGTTCACGAAAGTCAATATCAATTTATACACCGATGGTACATTTTATGACAGGCTCCCCCAAAATAGAATTTTTTTCCTCTTCCAGAGTTAAAATAAAATTTATTATAGAGGCACCTCCATCACTTTGGCGGTGATTAGTCTACAATGCTCAAAGTGGGACACCTCCATGTTTCAAAGATCTGTGGATGTTTGGGTCGTAAGTTTATTTTGTTCACAATGCGCTCTAGTAATGTGTTCTTAGATAGTTCGTCCCTATTTTCAGTTGAGTGTTCCGCCCAGCATCTAGATTGTATCCGTGGTGCAGGTTGTGCATATTCTTGCCTATTTGGACTTTTGAAATTCGTTCAAGTTCATGCCACGATGTATTATAATGGAAAGGCCCCTTTTTCTGGATCTACTGAAACAACGATGTCATCTTTTGTATGCTCTACATTCATATCATGACTGAAGATGATTAAACAGAAGCTCTTATATTTTTCTCCATGATGTGATTATAAATAAAAATCCATCAATTAGAGAATGATTAACAGAAGCTCTTATATTTTTCTCCATGATGTGATTATAAATAAAAATCCATCAATACTAATGATCACTCTGGTCTCTCTTTTTACCCTCAAAATCGTAGGTTACCGTCGATGGAGATGATCACAAGATATCGAGGTAATGTATGGTATAGAGAGATAACATTTACTTTAACGTGCATTGTTTTAACAGCTATAATTTTACTCATCCAGTCTTCATTTCGCTGTTAAAATGCACTCGTTCATCTATTCAAACGAGAACTTACCGTTTAAGTACTAGTTGGTACACCTTCTTGGCCTACTGTACACTACATTAATTGAATATGCGAGAAATATATCTTCTCCCCCTCAGACTTTTAATTTCGTTAAATTACTGGCTTTAGGCCTATATCTGATGTACCCGGGTTTCAGACCCAGCCATTGACTATTTTCTGAATACAGAGAAAGAGAAATTGTTCGTTTCCACCATTTTTTGCTAATCTCTTGATTTCATCTTTTTACAGCCGACGAAGCCATACCCTTGGTTACAGTGTCCGCTCATGTCGATAATGGCGGAAAGCAGATAGAACTGGAAGAGCTTGGTATATCAATGTCGATCCCACAAGGGGCTGTACAAGAGAGTGGCTCCTGTGAAATTACATTAACCAGTATACAAGATCTCCCAAGCATCAACAGCCAGGGTGATGAATCGGTGGCCTGCTACGGGATCAGATGTGACCCTCCAAACATGATCTTCCACCAGCCTGTTAAGATCAAGATACCACACTCAGCTTTCATCGTCAACCCAGATCAAGTGAAGCCTGACATCGTTTGCCGTGTATGGGATTCAGCAAAGGGTAAGTTCATTGGGTCAGATTCAGAAAATGGCCCATTCTTAATGCTGCATAGGATAAGCCGAAAGTGATGTCCCCAGATCCAGAACTAGCTTGCCGGAAAAAGCACTTTAAACTACATTCTTAGCACACGATACCATATTTTTTCTACGTTTTCCATGAAACACAAATTGCAAGCAATATCTTATCCACTTTCATTCTTCTCCTTCGCTATATAAACAGACCACCGTGAGGTGTATTTATATTGACAACTAACCCTTAAATCTTGTATTCTGATTGTAGTGTTAGAACGCCTTCAAAGTAATCCCTGAGTTGGTATTTCACCCTCTAGCCTCTATAGATATCGTGGTCATCCATAACGTCGTGAAGAACGATTCACAACGCCTATCTACTTATGGAATCTTTTAAAAGGGGAAGAAGTGAAGGGGGTAGTGCTCTTTGGGATGGCTTCATAAACTTAAAACAATTTAAAACAGTCATGTTTGACACCAATATGGATATAAATATTTGGTGTCAGTATATTGAGGTGTATAATGGTTTAAAGATATGTCTCTTTTGCAGTCAACATCAATTCTGTAGAACTTTGCAGGAATTATAAATATGTCATGTATGTCCTATCTGTGAAATTTAAACGTTAGCAGTATTCTAGTATTCAAATTATGCAAGGAAACCCGTTTACTTTCTAGACTTCTCTGTCAGACTCTATATATTGAGTGACTGACTGACATCTTTTCTCTTTGGTAACAAAATACATAAAATGAGCTGCAACAGGTACATAAGCATTTGTCTACATCAATAACCCACTAGTTGTAATGGCCAAACTTAAACTGATTGAATCTTTTTACAGTACACAACGTACGACCATTCGGTACAAGGGTCTGATAATCAGACTATTACTTAGATGATTGCAATTTTTTATGTCGATTCGACAACTAATGGTCGTTATTTTCCCATAAAAAGCCATTTTTAAACTAGTGTCGTTTTGAGGGAAGTTCTAAATATGTATTGCCTTTCAAATGCCGTAGGAATTTAACCTTTTCAGTTTTTGACCCGCAAATGGGACATAGTACCTTTAAAGAAAAAATTGGCTCAATGATAAGATAACATTTCTGTACAACAAATGAATTTTGTTTTGTAAAAATTGACAATAGATCTACCAGGAACATCAAGAAAGAGATCATCCAGCTCATCAGCCGAACCACCGTACTGCAGAGTATACAAGAAACATCTTGAGCTTTACATTGGTCACTGTGCTGAGTGGTGGGTTATTATTCCTCTCGAACAACAGGTGGTGAGACACCAACTCATGTGTACTCCATACATCCCAGATAGGATAGAAAGAGGGCAAGAGTTTGAAGTTCATCTGCAGATGCATGCGGACCTTCCTGGGATAGAAACGGTCAGTCAAAAGAACTTGATTATTAGCAATCAACGTTGTCAGAATGTATTACTTACTACTCCATGACGTTTCACCTGTTCCTACATGCTTCTTCAGGCAGTCTGATTTCTGTTTTAGGGGAAGCCCGTCTTATAAAGGAATCATAGCTAATGTTTACTCGTTTTAAATGATATAATTGAAAACCGCATTGCCATCATATCTTGTCCCGTATTAAGCACCCCATTATGACTCTTCGTTGGAATCCCTGTGATTTATGTTCTTGAAATCGTCCCCAGTGAATCATACAATATATAAATATCTACACAGAACCCTACATATAGAAATGCATTCATCTTCATGGTTACAGGAAGTTTCTATAACTTCCAAGTTACAATTTTCGGTAATTTTTTAGGGAATTCATAATCAACTTTCCTCGTAGTCATATTCACTCTTTCCTAGTTAGAGTAAATGAGAAACAAGGAAACGAATCATGGACTACATTATTCATTACAGGTGAATGAAATCATTAATTTGTAACGAGGCATTTAACAAAGATTTGTGCTTTAAATTTGATTGCATTACGAAAGTAGTCCATGGGTGAATTTTTTTTTTCTTCCAAACACTGGATTGTTAAAAGAAAATGTATTGAAACTTCAAATGTTTCTAGGAGACTACTATGGATGTTTTAAGAACCGTGATTGCTCACTACCAAGAAACATTTAGAACCACTACTTTCTAAGTATGATAAACTAGTTATTAGTTTTCTGTCGAGGTTCAAAATATTTTCTTCACCGAATGGAAATTGCGTTTTCTCGTTAATGTGTATCGACGGTACTTAATCTCTTTCTTTGAAATAGGAAATACAAGAGGAGAAGACGCAACAGTCGTATCACAAGAGCCATCGATCCGTTCCCTTCAGTGTTGAATCTAAGTCTGGTGACGTCACAGTAACGTGTCATCGTGAGGGCGAACAAGTTGAAAGCAAGGTAATAACAAGGATTTATATGACGCGTCAATGTTTACTGTGATAATCTATAGCAAATAAAAAATTCTCAGTTTCTATATCACAGGTTGTATTTCATGCTCAAGCTATTTTTTTGCCCATAAAAGTTACTCAGGTTTAATTAGAAATATCAGAGGTGACGAAATGTCAGATGTAAAAATGTCAGAGGTAAACATGTCAGGTAAAGACATAAGATGTCATTGTTACATCTGGCATTCGGAACCTATGCATCTACCTCTACCTCAGGAACTATTTACCTCTGACATGTTTACCTTTATCATTCTTACCTCTAATATTATCTCGTTTCGCATTCTTACCTCTGACATTTCTTTCCCTTCTCACATTTTTAAGTAACATATACATTGTATATACCTCTGATATTTTTTACCTCTGACATCTAACTTTTTTTTTACTTAGGAAATGTTTACCCTTGACATTTTTACATGTGACACTTTTACCTGAAATGTGCGAATATGACAGTGAAGTATTCGAACACGATTTCTATATGATATAATTTATAATACGGTATTGAAATCGCTTTTGATTTATCTTAAAGAATTGTGATCGTGTTGTTAACACTACACGCAATGAAAATACTTACACATCTCGAATTTGGTTTTATTTTTCCTCTTAACAACATTTTTTTAAATTTATGATAGTAATTTTTTTCTTCTGTTTCAATAACACAGGTTCTCTCTTTAAAGGACGTTCATAGCAATATAAGACACGAAATATTGCTGTCCGTGACTCCTAGTGAGGATGATGTAGAATTCACAGGGATAACCATTACGATTGAACAGGCTGGAAAGCTAGGGGTGTCTCGATCAATTGCTTTTATCACCAGACACACAGGTATATGTAGGCCTAGTATATCTTTGTTATATTTCTGTGCACTTTATAACAAATTATCAGTTAGTTCGTGAACAATTACTCCTGAGTATGATCAAATAAAGAACGTAAAGAATTTGGAAAATCTAACGAGATTAAATTAATTAAAACCTAGAGATAATTGCATTTGAATGTTATGTATTTCAGAAAGCAATGAATACCCAAGATTATCCGAACAATTTAGCCAAATTGGAGTTCGGAATGGGATATACTTTCATTTGATATTAATGTTTGACAGTTATTCATGAAATGCAAATGATGGTATATGTACATGTTTTGTAACGTTCATTTTCACACGACTCTTTGTACATACACTTATTCTGGAAGTTTGATAATGTGACAAAAGTTCAGAAAACTGTTTGAAAACTAGAGACCATCAGGTGAGGAGAATAAAAATTGATAATAATAAAAAACAAAAGTAATTTTTGTTTTTTCTCTTTAATTTGTCCGTTTTTAATTGTAGATGGACCGGAGTACCAATCTCCTTCTGAGCCACCATCATTTCTAAGGTAAGTTCCATAAAAAACGTTATACTTTTTAAGAATTGTTGAATAGATCAAACCAATATTTCTGTTTTTGTTTTTTTTTCATTTCAGGACTTGAAGAATTTTTTTTAAATTAAAATACTTTTCTCATCTCATAATATATCCGTCGCAAAGATGATCAGAAATTGATTAATTTCTCCGTTTTTAACGCTCTATTTCGTCAAAGATAATGTTTGGGCCGATGAGGCAATCGACTGTTAGGTTGCGTTTATGGATGTAAAATTTGGTCCGGAGTTGAAGTTAGGCATTTGTGTAGTATGAAAATTGACCACGGAGCAATTGTCTTTGGAGCATTTGTCGCTTAATCTTTCCTGGGTCTAGGATGTATTGTATATAGGGACAAATATAAGTAACATTCATTTTATGTCATGTCAAAAGTCATTATAGCGTTGGGATGTTGTTCATACCTTTATAACCATCGTTTTCATTAGTTTCAACGAAGCAATTTACCTGAACACCTTCACTTTGTTTTGCAGGGCGGTGGAAGAAGTCTTGAAAAGTGACCTGCAGGACATTGATGTGCTTACAATAGCACAAGCAATGACAGTAGACCAGTTCTATGATCTGGGAGTAGCTCTTGATTTCACCATAAAACAGTTGGATGTCATAGAATACAGGAGGTTCCATGACAGAGAGCAGGCCATCTATGATATGCTGGTGACATGGAGAAAGAGACAGTCGTCCGGCCAAGCAGCAAAGGACACGTTGCTCTCACTCCTGTCTTCTTTAGATTCACCAGCAGAAGAAATTGCCATCTCAGGTTTGACTTTTGAACAAAGTGTTGGTTTTTTTTTGTAGTCGAAATCTATTTTAACATGAAGAAAATTACTAGCCTGTAATACCCTGGAAAGAATAAAGAAGAATGATTAATTCACTAATTTTAGAAATTGAACACACATTGAACCCAAATTATTGTAAAACAGTAGGCTTTAACCTTTCTGCTAACTTAGGGACGAGTGCACACTAGTACTTCCAGTTGTTTTTCAAGCAACTTAGAGTCAGAGAGTTCAATAATCAGGATAACTTTGGATAATAAATTATGTGTATGGCATATTGGCACCTCATTCAACTTGTATTTTATGTTGTGCGCTGCTTTGATCTATGGTTGAGGATAGAAGTTAGAGTAATGCCCATGATAACTTAGTTCAGCCCATATAGTGCTCTGGACAAGGGCTGATATAGTGAAAATCAAGTATTTGAGTTCTTTCAAAATATTACAATACATTATACCTGTCCTTTATTCTACAAAAGAAACAATTGAATAGATAGGACGGTGGGAGACTCAAAATAATACTTATTTAGTATTCGCACGCTATAGAAGAGAATGTAAGAGAAGTACATTGGCTCGGCCTATTAAACCGAGGCTAACAACTAGTTTGATTTCATGTTTTAAAATAAATTGTTTATTCTTACATTATTATTCTTTTGTTTTTGTTTATATCTTTATGGTCTACTTTCGCTTCATCTACGTTCATCAGACATTGGACTTGCTGGGTAAGATTCTAATTTATATCAACTAAGGTGTTGATAAAATTGATATTCAACTTCAATAAGTGCTATTCATTTCCGCCAAATTTAAGGCATGGGTTTTAATGCAAAACCACAACTTACAATAAAGTAAACAAATTCCGTGCAAAAGGATAAAAAGATTGTTAGGCAAAAAGTTGTGACAAATAAAAATATAATCAAAATAATAAAGAAGATACAAAAACGATAAGGAAACAAATTTAAAAAAAGCTGGAAACAAGAATACAAAATGCACATTACAGTTATGTGTGGGGGGGGGGGGGATAAGATGAGACAGTTGAATAATTTGAAATGCGTTGAAACCCAATCAACGAGAACATAAATGTTTACACAAACGCCTGAATGAATGCGATTGGGAAATTACATTGATCGAGAGGAAAAGAACATGAGGAATCAAACAAGATGATATATATGAATGGGGGATGTAAAAGAGCAGGCAACTAGAGAGAGAGAGAGAGAAAACGAGAAAAAATTACACACACACACACCCACACACATACACATTTTATTAGAACACTGATTGTAATCTTTTGGTGATTTGAAGTTCATGTATTATTCAAAAAGCGAAAAAATAAACTTGTGGGTTTTCTTGACTTAAACTTTATCCAATTGGACAGAGAAATTCCTGACAGCACACTGCTTGCATTCGCCCGTCAGATCAGACCAAATAAGTTCTATGAGATTGGTGAGAAGCTGGGATTCAACAAGTCAGAGTTACAACACATCGAACATCGGACATTATACAACAGGAATGACGCTAACATCCAAATGCTCTCAAGTTGGAAAGCATCTCAGACTTCAGGGCCTAAAGCAAAGCAGACATTGAAGCTGGTTTGGGAGTCTGTACAGGATGCATCGAAAGCAGAGAAAACCAAGGGTATCATACATCATGCAATTTATTATAGTCTTCTACTGCTCTCAAGTACAAAATAAGAAGAAATCATTCAAGCTTATCAATTTGGAATAGTTATAACTTTATCTAATTTATTGGCCTTACGAATGCTTATGACAATATTAAGTCAAGTCACTTTCTTGTATTCCACAGTTATAATTATAAACTGAGCCTTTTGATGTTTTCTGTTACATCAAATATACAAGAAATAACCAACGTGGACATTATTCTCTTGGTATCTTTGAACAATCATGTCAGCCATATAAGTAAAAACAACAACGATTGGATACAAGATACATTGTTATGCTAAGGGCAGTCCTATTTTATGGTTATAATGGTCTAATACTTCATATCTGGCGCTGCTTAGTGGCTGCCGGGCTCACGATCAATTGGGCAAAAAGAATTTCTGTTTCGGTTTAATAAAATTTGGAGTGGACTATTAGGCTATTATTATTATTATTATTATTATTATTATCATCATCATCTTGCAGACGAAGAAGAGGAAGAGAATGAAGAAGAAGACGAAGAACAGACCTCTCAGGGACTGAAAGTGGATTCTACCTCACCACCTGAACAAGGAACAGAGCAGAGCGAGTCTGTAGAGCCTGAAGATATGGAGATCATCAGAAATATAGATTCAGGTTTGTTATACTAGTTCTAGGGATGACCTTTCATAGTACAATGGTTGTCAGAAGGTTGCGTCAAGACTCAAGAGTCAAGATGCTAGTGAATACGATAAATAAATTATTTCTATCTACAATGTATTTAGAAAAAGAGTCAAACTTGTCTATTAAAGGCCACTCATGTAAAACAGAGCAAAATGTCCACTGTAGACAGGTGAACTTACTGGACAGGTTCTACAACGCACATTTATCTTCCAGAGGGGAGACATTATGTATAGGCACTATAGACAGGTGGCCTTTATAGAGAGGTTTTACTTTATATATATATATATATATATATATATATATATATATATTCTCTTTCATAAATCATAGATGGGGATGAAACCAGTAAAGACATCGACCTATGTGGAGGTTCACCTAGTACGGGCGAGCGGTGTAGCGTTGCTCTTCCGGTGAAGAGTCTGTCTTCGGCATGGAAACTGGGGAAAGCCCTCCGTCTGGAAGATGACGTCATCGTTGGTTTCGCTACACCTTCCGATTCTGCAGCAATGAACAGACTTGCAGTGCAACTCCTCAAGACGTGGTCCAAACGTTTAGGAAGCCAAGAGAAGAAAGAGCTGATGACAAAGCTCCTTCAAGATTATAACATCCAGGATTGCAATGCAGGTTTGACACAATTATGGAAAATTGAAGCCCTACCTTGGTAGTGTCTTTTCTTAGTCAAGTATGGTAGAAATCACGTGGGATGGTATGTGTTTTTGACAGTGCGTAAATTGTACTAAGAGGTGAGCAGGATGATGGAAAGTTGTAATTGCTATAAATGTTAAAAATTATGAGAATTTTTAGTCCAATTTAGATCAACATTGACAATCATGGCAATTAAATACCAAATTACAATTTTATTTCCTTTTTCCCAAGGTCGTGATGAAATCTCAAAAAAGATTCGCACAACTCCGGACCTTCTCGACCTATCCCACCGCCTTGATCTAGCTACTTCTGAAATCCTGCAGGTCATGTCCACATCTTTGTCCTTTCCGCCAACCTTAATACGACACATCGTTCTACAAATGCTTCAAAAATGGGTACGACTTGGAGGAACAAGACAGAGGCTTCTCGAAATTGCTCAAGCTTTTCATATCAACGATGCAGCAGACGAAATAGCAATAGGTATAATTCTGATGAAAGTCTCATTATAAAGAAAACGCTGTAAATAAACTATTTGGAATGTCCTGTCATAGTTCGACCACCTTCTTATGAAGGAATGCTTACTGCAAATGTTTTTAAAACCTTTTTAATGACTTATATTAATTGTATGTCATTCTGGTAACGATAACCCGTGTATAATCCCGACAAGTCTTTTATCTCTTAATTGTGTCTTTGTATCATCCGTTGGTAGCAATGGAACACCACCCAGGTTTCTTGGACCCCTTCTCTCATGGCATCATTGATCACGACGGTGGAGAGCTGAAGCTAGATGAACTGGACATCAGAGTATCCATCCCTGCAGGGGCAATACCTAAAGGGATGAGATCTGTGGTCACTCTTAGTGTACCTAGTCGTTGTTCATCTAAGATTCCCCTTAAGGACGGAGAGGTTCTCATTACTCCAGTCATTGAATGCTCTTTCACTCAAGAACTTCTCAAACCTGCGACTGTAGCTCTTCCACACTGCATCCATCCGGTACAACATCAAGATGACTTACGTATTAGCCTTTACACCGAGTTAGGACCAGGTAGCTCTTCTTCTCTATTGTTCTTTGTAAAAAGTCTCATTTGTTTTCTAAATATGTGCCAAAAAAGTGGAATCATTTTTAGCATCCCAACACTTCCAAATGATTCACCCTTGTTTTTAAATCATAATCCTAGGTAAAATTCATTTCAATTCAATTTTATTTCGCAATATAAAAATCAAAATATACAAAATAACAGTAAATTTTAATTATGTTTACAAAGGTAATATGCGGGGCTTTCCATGAAGGTTGCGAAAACCTGTGAAGTTGGATCGCCCAAAGGAGATCTAGTTATGTAAACAGTTTTAGTAAAAATATAATTATCTCCTAGACGTTTTGGGACAAGCGCGCGCGTGTTTTTCATGAATATATTATGTTTGACTTTTGTACAAAATTACATAGTATATCTGTCTTCCTTTTCACATTTCTTGTATTTTCCAAGGTACATTTGGTTACAGGAGCTTACTTCCAAATACATCAACAGATTTCGATATCTCAGAGGACATGGTTGGTTTCCCTACGCGTCATCTTCAACTCTGGGCTTTGTCATCAAGCAACTTTCATGGAGTTCAATTCACCTGCGAAGTTTTTCAGCCGCTTTTCATGCTTCCTTCACAGAAATCTGCACTGCGTATATGCATAGCTCATCCTTGCAACAGATATCCTGCCGTATGTATATTATTAGTGACTTCTTATATCAGTTATATAGTACTCATACCCGTCACAATATCATGCTAATAGTGCTTAGACATTATTACCCAGGTTATAAACGAACCCCGAAAGGGCCCACGATAAACCCCCACAAGGAGCTCCAAATCCAAAATGAGTATTAAAAAAAAAAACGTCCTAAGGTGGCGTGAAGACAAAACTACAAGACGAGGGAATCCAGTAAATTTTCCACTGGTTCTAAAAAAATATATATATATCTTTTTTTTTAACTCAACACCTCCCCCCCCCCCCCCCCCACCCCCTCTTGAGCAAAAAAGAAAAGAAAAACGTAAATTTTTGGTTCCCATCTTTTGTTCTTACTTTTTTTTTGCCAGAGGTGGGGGCCCCGTCTTTTTTTTTTAACTCTTTTTTTTTTGCCAGGGGGTCGGGCCCCTTCCCCCTCCCCTTGTGGATCCGAGCCTGAGGGAATCTACATGAAATTAAGCAACTTGTATGATTTTGCTATTCGTTTGTTGAATTGCTTAGGTTTGTAATCCAGGTACACAATTCATGCAGTCAAGTTTTCAATCATGTTTTGTTGTCAGGATATGTGCAGAAGACAGGGAAGCTCGTTGGAACCATTCTACCAGGTGGCAATCGTGATCAAGTTCCCTCTTGAATCAAAGGAAGACGATCTGAAGCTTTTGTGTCTTTCTGACTCAGAAAAGGTCCAGGAAACTGTAAGTATCGCACTAGAACATAACGCATGAACTGTTATTTCGTTCCATTTTCACAAGATTTCTTCACAAATTTCAAATGTTATTATGTTCTCGATCATACTTAAGTAACAATATTTGATTAATCAATTACCCCCCCCCCCCCTCCTCCATAGGGATTTCCTTCACAGAATTTATAATAAAAGTTAAATTCTACGAACATCCACTAACCAGTAAGCTGTGACATTCCATTATCCGCAATCTTGTTTATCAGGTCCCTGTACGTTGTCTCCTGAATGGAGAATGCAACACCTCAAACTTCGAGCTGCCCTCCTCATGTGCTGAGGGAGGGGCGAAGAGTATCTGTCTACGTATTGAGCAGGGCACATCAACTCTCGTAGAACAACAAATACCCATCTCAATAGAAGGTAGGTAACCTCTTGGTTATGATATAGATTCAAACTTTAAAAGGCTTCATTTAGCCATATTTATTAAAAAAAATTAAAAAAACCTACTACACCATATCGAACCCTCGAATGGTAGCCTACATTTTATCGAAGTCACTTGTGGTGGTAAATCGGGGGGGGGGGGGGGGGGGTCATCATTTTGTGCATGTTACGCACAATATTTTACCAATTATCGAAGTCAAATGTAGATGTAAGGCTTAGTAAGCCTACATGGGAGATAATAGCCAGCCACTAAGTAAACATATTATTTAATGAAGTCTATTTCTACTAAAAGTGTGTGTCTTGAAGGGCCGTGTAGACACATGTCTCCCTGTTCCCTGTGTTTGGAATTTTTGTCGCAATGTGTACACGTGATTCGTTTTTTCTTGTTAATCGTCCAGAATGGTTTTAACGAAATATACTCCGGCTAAACGTGTACAAGCCGGATACTCAGAAATTCAATATTCAATCCATTGTTACATCTTTTCTCTGTCCCTAAGCTTTTACCAAACCTTAAAAACTCAAATCCCAAACAAATACATTTTCCAACTACATCTAGCACAATCACGGAAGAAAAGTAATAATGGCGAATGTTATACCCCAATAGTTTAGAATTTGTATGTTAAAGACGCGTTCACGGTATTAAGTTAAACGTTTGATAATTCACCTATAATAATTTAAGAAAAGTACAGTTGAAGTTAACACATCCCAATTATTTGTTTCCTTGTTTCATCCAAACAGTCGAGCCAGATTATGGAGTCTCCCACACGTAAGTTAATCATTTGTTGGTCGTAATGCAGTAAAGATGCAACGTTATCATTGATTCTTCTTATTATACCATGCTACTTAGATCAAGTAATAAATCTAACAAAATATTATACAGTATGCCTGTCATTGAAGTATGAAACCTGTACGAACTCTTTATTCTTTTCGCGATTACTAGTCGTGAACATTGCTATTATAATTTACTCGTGAAGGGGTGTACATAAACAGGTTATAAAGAGTTGGGTGTGCATTGACGATGGGATAACTTAGTCAAAGTAGGAAAGGAGATCGCCATCTTATTTTCTATATTGTACAGTATTTTATTGATGTGTCTATTTTCTTCCTTCGTTTGCCATATAACTCTTACTCCTACAGACGCAGGCGAATAAAGTTTGCTTCAGACAACATGCTAAAAATCTTGTCTGATTCAGTCTGTGCAATAAAGGATGCACGTGACCTTGGCTACCAGCTTGGCTTCTCCCATTCAACGGTAGAGAAATACCTTGACAGAGCAGACTCCTCGGCTAGCAGCGTCTCAAGTTCAGGATTCCGGGAGATGCTTCGTGACTGGAGACGGCGTGTACGACCGAGTGAGCAGACTAACAAACTTCGTCTTGCTTTGGAGAAAGCTGGATTAAGATCTACAGCCAATGTCCTCTTCCACGAAAGTTAGTTTGAACGTACAAACGGCATGTCCACGATCAGAATCTCGAAGTTGAAAAAAATGCTCTCGAAATCCCCTCATGTTTGATAGGTGACTAGAAAAGCTATTAACAAAATCTACTAAATATTGAAGCCAGATATAATTATGCGCAGTGTTTACACTTTCTGCAAAATTTAGTACATTTTATATAATTTCGATGAAATAATGATAATTAAAAGCTTTGTTGATACACCCTGCATTATCAAACACAAACAGTCCCCATAACTTATAGATAGTTTCCTTGTCACTGCAATGACACGAACAGCACTCATGTTTCTTCGAAATGTATCAAACATGGTTCAGTAGTCATATTGGCTGCAATGATATGTTCTTTGTGACAAGTTTGTGTGAAAAGCGTTTCGGTCCTATCGCCACAATAATTATGTGCGTAGCATAATATTAACAACTTCAGAAACAAAATTTCTTCCAATATTATAATTCTTTTCCTTTCCCTTCCTTGTTTAGCTTCCATACTTCCTAGAACGATTTCTCTTAGGAGTCTATCATGCCGTAGAATATGCCCAATTAGTTTCTTCTGTCTCTCCTACCAGCTTGTTACTAGCTTCCTCTTCTCCCCCAATCTTTGTAAATCTTCATCATATTTTGTCACTCTACCCATCAAACTTATCTTTGCAATCTTCCTCCATAGTGGAATTTCAAAAGTCTCCAACATTTTGACATCTGCTGTTTTAAGAGTACTGTGGTCCAAAGAGCAGCACATTCCAAAACATATGCGTAAAATAATAATTGCTGAAAATATTTTATTTATTTTTAAAGTTGTATGAATACTGTTTTAGTTCTGCTGCTGCGATCTCATGTATATTATGATAATAATATCAGAAGTTATTTTCTTTATTGTAACGTTGTATGAATACTGTTGTAGTTAAGTTGCTACAATAATCATATACATGATCAGTAATCGCAGTTTACTATTGTTTGTATTGTATATTATATGAATACTATTTTAGTACTGCTGCTACAATATCATATACATATGATAATGATATCAGAAGATATTTTCTTTATTGTAAGGTTGTATAAATACTGTTGTAGTTAAGTTGCTACAATAATCATATATATCATTAGTAATAGCTAGCTGTATATATATTTGTTTGTAGTGTAAGGTTGTATGAATACTGTTTCATTTCTGCTGCTACAATAACATATACATACGATAATAGCATATTTTCTTTATTGTAAGGTTATATGAATACTGTTGTAGTTAAGTTGCTACAATATATATACATCACCATGCAAGCCGATACTTACAAGCAGCATCTAATCATCATAGTATTAGTAATTGCTGTATATATATATTTGTTTGTATTGTAAGGTTGTATGAATACTATTTTAGTTCTGTTGCTACAGTATCATAGACATACGATAATAATATCAGAAGATATTTTCTTTATTGTAAGGTTGTATAAATACAGTTGAAGTTAAGTTGCTACAATAATCATATATAATATTAGTAATCACAGTATACATATATTTGTTTATACAGTAGGCTTGCGGGTGCACCATGTGTGCGAGAGAGTGTTTGTATTTGTTTATATTTGTTTGTATTGTATATTATATGAATACTATTTTGGTTCTGCTGCTACAGTATCATATACATACGATGATAATATCAGAAGAGATTTGTCTTTATTATAACGTTGTATGAATACTGTTTCAGTTCTGTTGCTAGAATAATCATGTATATAAGATAATAATAACAGAATACATTTCCCTAGTTGTAAGAATACTGTTTCAGTTCTATTGCTAGAATAATCATGTACATAAGATAATATTTACAGAAGACGTTTTCTTTATTACATGAAGTCCATTTCCTTGATGTTTACTTTGTGCTCCTATTTAGTATGTCTTGCGGCCTATGGGATCGCTGATCTCCGAAATAGCGGAGGAAGAAGACGAAGAAGAACACTGTTTCAGTTCTATTGCTATAATTATAATACAGATAAAGTAATGAATACATTAAATATGTGGTAAATCATAAGGTGGTTCGAGACTGTTAATATCCATGTTATTAAGAGGTTGTATAACTAGCGTTTCAATTGTATTTCTACAATTTACAATTAATGTATATATACTAAATTCACAATGCGCCTTTAAGACAATAATTACAGAACATATTTTTGCATTGCAGGGTTTTATGAAGACTGTTTATTTGTTTTTCCTACAATTATCATGTACACTATATAGAATCTAACTGAATGAATATATGCGTTATTATTTAAAGTTGTATGAAAACGGTTATATAGCTGAATGGCTACAATAATCATGTATATAAGGTATTTGAATGATTTCAGAGTATATTTTCTTTATTGCCAGGTTGTTTGATAACATTTTGCTGTTCTGATGCTACACTAATCAAATACATATGATAGTGATTACAGAAGATATTTTCTTAGTCGTATGAATACTATTTTAGTTATATTGCTACAAAAATCATGTACATTAATCACAGAATATATATGGGGTATGAATACTGTTTCAGTTCTTTGCTAAAATGATAAAACAATGGTTCTTCATCATAAGGTGGTTTGAAAACTGTTCAGTTTGTATTACTAGAATAATTATGTATAGGTAAGACAATAACTTCAGACCACATTATCTTTACTATACGGCTATATGACTAGTGAAGACTGCTCAGGTTGTTTTCTTTATTACAAGATTGTTTGAAAACTTTTGCCGTTCTATTACTACAATAATCAATATACATAGGATAATAATTACAGAATATATTGTCTTCGTTGTATGAATTGTGCTTCAGTTCTATGGCTACAATGATAATGTACATAAGGTAATAAATAATAGTTGAAGAGATATAAAGCCGTGGTGATTTTATTCGATCTGCGAATACAGATAAAAATAGCAATGATGATGATGATGATGATGAACAGCATTTGTATGGCGCCATATATCTGTTTCAGATAACATTCAAAGGCGCAATGATAGATGAATTACATTGTTCATGTTACAAAAGATACAATATAAAATATCTGGGCAAACCACCTGAATCTATAAACTAGAATACTGAATTCAGAGTAAAGATTCATTTAAACCCATTTTGCTCTTGTACTATAAACTTTCAATCCTGACCTTGTCCTTTAACTATCAGACATGCAGAGCATGGACCATTCCATGTGGAAGGGTCCATGGTTGTATCAAGAGATGATTTTGTTCATATTATTAATTTGAACGAAAATTCTTGTGTAAGTGTGAGAATCCGATGGTAATTTGTTTGACACTCTATCTACCAGGCCCCCGCCCCATCTTTATATCTTAACTCTGTTCAACTAATGAAACCAGGATAACACTGATTTATGTGTCTTGATTATGTACCATTATATGTATTGACTTCATGTATATACTTTCTTTTGATCAAAGTAGGCACTTTTAATCATTTGTCGAATATATTTGGTGACATATAGTTTGGATGCCGCTGTATAGTTATGAGATGATATATATGTTTATGTCATTGTGTTCATAAGGTTGATCTTCCATTTATATTCATAAAAGTTGCGCGTCTCTTGTGAAAGTGTATTGTAGAGTCATTTGAGTTTATTGATATATCTTGTATATTTTTGTATCGCATTTGTGTATGATTTGTTTATCCATCTGAATCATTATGATGGTACATGCTCTTTCTTGATGATTGAAATCTAATAGTTTTACGCCTACTTTGTAAGCTTCAAAAACTGGACCCCGACTGTTGCAGTTCCATATCGGGAGGTGATTTAGTCATTTCTTTGATTGTACGTAGAATTTGTTTATCTCACAATTTGTTTGAGTCTCTCTATCAGATAGTTATATTATGTTAGCTTTAGTTGTAGCATGGACCAACTAGGTCCATGGTTGTAGTATCTTAAATGTAAGAAATATTTGACATGTCACATTTATTCTCGTATCAAGACGACCAGTATGCATTTGTATTCTTATCCAGTTTTAGTGTAAATAAATAGGCATGCATAGGTATTTTGACTTGTATTAAACCACCCTCATAGATTGATTTCGAACACAAATAACATGACATGCCGGTATACGTTAACGATTTATTGATAGAGTCAGCTATGTTTATGACTGTTGTTTCATTTATATGCTCATGACGTTGTGTTTATTTTTGTTAAGGACCTTATATATAGATGCAGAGTAGTCACCCTCACATTTTTAATAACGATTATGACTGAAATATGAATGAATTTCACACCGATCACCTAGGATTTTAGCCAGTGCAATATTTTTTTCAATTCCAATATTTCCAATATTTCTACCAATGACACAAAATCAAGTCTTCAGCATGCCAATTTCGTAATAA